TTCTTTCAGGATTGTAAAGAGTAAACCATACTTGTTAGTGACTCTTTGGTATTGATGTTGTCTGAAAATTGTTCACTCTGTTACAGCATATTTGTTAGTAACTCTCTGGTATTGTTGTGTTAGTGACTCTTGGGTATTGTTGTTGTCTGAGAATTGTTCACTCTGTTACAGCATACTTGTTAGTAACTCTCTGGTATTGTTTTAGCTTGAGAATTGATTACTTTGTTACAGCATACTTGTTAGTGACTCTTGGGTATTGTTATAGTACGAGCATGGTTTACTGCTATACAGAACACTTTTAGAAAGTTGCTTCTTAAAGGTTTTTATACTTACTGTAAAAACCATACACCTTCATTGTTTTAAGTTTGATTTTAAACTTTGTTTTCTACTATGTAGCATGCCTGTCAGTACTTTCTTGGTTCTTTACTTTAGTGCAAGAATGGGTTTCTACTACATAGCTACATAGTTCTAATAATGGCTTTAAACCATACATTTCATGTATTTATTAGTTATCAGTTTCATTTTACCATCCAGTTCATACTAATTATATTATTGTTTTAAAATGTTTTAGATCCTGTGATTGGTAATTCTGGCCAGAAGCGTCGTTTTTTCACAGGTAACGGTATCAAGAAGCTAATACCAGAAGTTCAAGGTGAAGATGTGAGTATAGATTTTTTTAATGAAAATTTCTGAAAACTAATCCTTGTTTTTCTTAAAACCACTAACAGTTTTTTTCTGATGAACTTAAGCTTCAAGAATAATTCAGCACTTTTGCAAGAAATTGAAAATTTCAAGAGATGGAAATAAAAACGTATTTTAGCAGCTTACAGTCTAGAGCTTTTGATAAATACAAGTGAATTACGTAGCTCTTAAATATAAACTTTTCTTTCAAAGAATGCAGGAAAAATTGTTTGTTTTTACTTGCGTAGGATCAAGAAGAAGAAGAAGAAAGTAAGGATCATCTTCCTATGCTATTTGAAAAAAGAACTCTCTTTGGAGCAAGACCACAAATACCACCACCTAAACTCCAACGTAAGCCATACTTTTTGTGTTGTTGTTTTTTCAGTGTATCATTCTATAGTTTTTATACTTTGTTATCTTTAGATATTTCTCATAGCAGTTACGAAACAAATAAGTCAATGGTTTTTCTGTGCAGGTCTTGAAGTTACTTCTGCCAACATTAGGAAGTGGGTTCAAGATGAGGACTTGGATAAATTAGAAGGAGCTGTAATAGAAGGCTATGGAGAAAAACTAAGTCATGTTGAGACCTCTAGTGAGGGAGTACAGACCTATATAAATGAAACGGTCCCAAAGATTATGGAAAGAATTGAGGCCATCCATGCAGCAGTAGTAGAGGGAAACGTTTCGGAGCTGCAGAGCCATCTAGATAAACAGAACTTTGTGCTTGCCAAGGACCACATGGGTATGACACCTCTCCATCGGGCTGTCATCCTTGGTCATATGGATGTTGTCAAATATATTTTGGAAAAATTTCCTGAAACTGTAAATGCAAAGGATAAAGTAAGCATTTAAATGAATCGGAATTGTGTTGGTAGTATATATATCATTGCTATCGATGCATGGTTTTGAAACTAGAAAACTATACCATTTTTAATTGAAAGACACATACACGGTTTTGACATTACCATGTGAAATGCAAATTATGATTGACATGCATGCTTTTTTGACATGACAGTGACAATATCTTTGAACTTACATCACAGTTTCTTTTTTAAGTACTTATGAACAGATTGAAGATTAAATGATGATTAAACTGTTTTAAAGCAGTTGTGACCCTTTAAGATAAACTAATTTGTGTACTAAAATTCACCAATTTCCTATGTGATTTGTTTATAATTTTGTGATTTGATTAACATATGAGACTTCAATATTATCATACATTTGCATTAGGTTTTACTGATATAAGTGATGAGATACTTTCAACACAACATAAAAATATTACCTAACTTTAAGTAATGTTTTCTCGGTGTTATCTTCAAACATAAATACATCTTAATAACTTTTGGCTCTAAACAAAAGACTATTATAACGAAATGTAAATGAGGTTATTAATTACGGCAAATTATAATACATGTTTCAATAGATACTTTAATGATACATAGATACAGCATAAGATCAACAAGTAGATAAATCACAGATGAGAAACATCGTAATTTGGACAATTTCATAAGGTACTTTTTTTTCCTTTTTATTGATTTTTATTGTTAGTATTTTTGCTTTATCGTTGTTAAGCACAAAGCGATACAAAGGGCTGTCTGTGTTCTGCCCTTCACAGATATTGAAATCTGATTTTTAGTGCTGTAAGCCTACAGACTTACCATTAAGCCACCAATGGAAGGCTTGTTAGAGAGAGAAACAATAATTTTTTTCTGATCATCAATTATACACGAATACTGATAATGTTTATCTGGTTTGTAGGATGGCAGAACAGCCTTGCACTATGCTGCAGCAGTACCTAGAAAAGATGGAAAAACTATGTTTAAAATGCTACTTCAAGCAGGGGCTGACATTAGGATTAGAGATCAGGTAAGTAATAACCACCGTGTCTTTCCTGCAGAGCTACAATGCATGTGCAAATGGATTTAGTATTACAGAAAGTATTGTATGTTCCAGTATGTAAAACTATCTTTATTTGTGGAGGCACAAGCCTTTTTATGGGATTACAGATTATATGATATACTTTAGTCAAATATTTCAAATTCTATATATGTTTTGATGGATGAGAATTTAATAAAGTTACTTACTGGCTTTTTTTTTCAGTTTCTTTTCGTGTCATATATTGTGGATTCTTGTTGTTTAGAGATTTCTCGATCAGTAATGAAACCACACTTAGAAACTTTTCTTTGTTTTTTATTAGATTTCATTCAAAACTTTGAAGTTGTCTCTCGTTTATGCTCTATGTACTATGTGCTTTTGTTTAAGTTTTTGAAGGCTTTTTTTGTGCGTGCAGTTAATGTTTATTAACCAAGGGCCATAAATACTGCATGTTCTTAATTTTAATTTTATTACTAGTCCACATTTTCACATCTCTTCTGCATTATTATTGGCTGTGAGTCTGTGAAACAATTGTAAGCTTTAACTTTTATGTTGAAACATTCTGTTTTTAGCATGCCAATAATACCTTTTTGACCTAAACTTTATCAAACAACTTCAGCTTGTCTACTCCTCAACCACATGCTTAGTTATTGAGCTCTCTATTGAATATTATTAGTTCCATGGTGGATGAAACATTTCATTCTTTTTTTAAATGGTTATTCTTTTATGGGGCCTAACTCTTCTCATTTTCTGTTCTTGAAATGTTTCTGACATGTGCAATATAATCCTGGATAGAGGCAACTCATATGACTTCCTTCAGACTTCAGCTCCTTCACTGACTACTGGTAGATTCTGTTTGTGTCTGAAACTTTCTTTATCACATAACTTCTGTAGATTTGTTTCAGTTCCTTCCTTGGGTTCCATTTCTCATGCTGCATGGAGTCAGCATCATTGTTCTAAAGGGTTTTACATGTATTTTTTCTTTTTGTGAACCTCTGAATTCTTTCAATATTTTGAAGTTGCTCATAAATTTTATTTCTCTGTTCTTCAAGATTTGAATGAATGTTGGACCCAGACAGATTCTACTACAGTTGAAGCTGTCTGTAACAAAGTAATCAATTCTCAAGCTACAACAATACCGAAGAGTCACTAACACAACAATACCAGAGAGTTACTAACAAGTATGCTGTAACAGAGTGAACAATTCTCAGACAACATTAATACCAAAGAGTTATGGAAAAGTACACTGTGACAGAGTAAACAATTCTCAAGCTACAACAATGCCAGAGAGTCACTAACAAGTATATGGTAACAGAGTAAACAATTCTCAGACAACATTAATACTAAAGAGTTATGAAAAGGTACACTGTGACAGAGTAAACAATTCTCAGACAACAACAATACCCAAGAGTCACTAACAAGTATGCTGTAACAAAGTAATCAATTCTCAAGCTACAACAATACCCAAGAGTCACCAACACAACAATACCAGAGAGTTACTAACAAATATGCTGTAACAGAGTGAACAATTCTCAGACAACATCAATACCCAAGAGTCACTAACA